AATGTTAACATCTGTCAGCTTTCTTCTTCTGACTGCGTTATCCAGAATGCTCAAGTGAACTGTTTCAAATCCATGGTGTAAGTCAAACTGGAATATTGTACACTGGTTGAGCTGTGCTCACTGATACCTTCAGACCGACTGCTCTGATATGCGGATCGTGGACAATGCGCCTCGATTGATGAAATCGGAGGGCGATAATTCGATGACAGAAAAGGACATGAAGAAAGCAACTCAAGTTGATGTATGTCGACTGCTTAAATTGGGGCCACGGTGAAGACCGCTTCAAGAGCTAGAGAGCATATCCGTCGACACGCGGTAAAGAAACCAGCTAAACTACCTGTTAGCGATTTTTTTGAGCCAAGTTATAACCTTTCCAGTTGGCCACTCTAAGTCTTTCAACTCGGCCGACTGACGTTTTGCCTGTTGGCTACTCTCACACCATCTACAACGGTGGGGAATAAGAGACGCGCGTTCAGGTCATTAAGGCGATGCCTTCAAATTTAGAGGCGTTCTATAACTTATCCAAAGGATTTATTAACATACACGCATTTCGGCACTGCACCGAACCATTTTGTTTTAACTTAGCAATATTTGTTCTGCATTCAGTGACATGGTCATTTGCACTCGCGTTATGTTGAAATATCTGCGTGTTTTCACGCATATGAATTGGACACTTGCTCCTGGTCAAGATATTCAAAACAAAATGAAAAGAAGCAAGGGGATTTTACCCAGAAGCACAGCACAACTTGGCGAGTCACACTTGGGAATAAAAATCTCGGAAGTATGAGCCTACCTACTCAGCGCCAATATCCGATCGCCACTTGGAAAATTCGAAGACCACAAAAGTGTGGCAGTGTGGTGAATATTCTCGCGTGGGTATCATTAGGCTGTCGGAAACCGGACTTTATGCCGATGTTGAAAATGCAATTGTGAAACTAGAAGGATCTGGTTCTTATTATGTTGACCGCGTGTACACAAAGGAACCGCGGTGGTGCACGTCCATTAAAAAGCATTTTCGCCACAATGCGCAAGGCACCAACTGTTTAATCGTTAAATGCAAACCAAAACTCTTGAACGGTTATAGTTCGATGTTAGTGGTAAACAACTATATTTATCCTAACTGTCCAATATTCGAAGCCAAGGAATTTTTATGACGGATTTATAGCTGTGCTCCCCGAATACCTGGAACCCTCAATGTGCATAGCTGATGATGACTTTAAGAGATCTGGCACCAGCTTCATTGCGAACCTCCGCCTAAAGGACATAATGTAATCAACCAGGTTAGATGCATAACTTGACATAGTATTTGTTAACAACCTGAAAGTGTTTTCCGTTTTCTAATCGAGCACCGCTTGGGAGCCCTGATCATACCATCATAAAGCTATCTCCTGCTATCTATAGCAAGACGAACCATCAAGATGTCACCCATTGCAAAGATTGAAAATTCAGGCAGAGACAATGTTTTCCTCAGAACATTCAGCGACTGAGTAAAACCATTGACTACACAGATATTAGTTTATTTTATGATGCGGACGTATCGAAATATTGTGAAAGGTTAACTATTTACTTAAACTTCTGCTTTGACACCTGTCCTCCTGAGAAAAACTTCATCCGTGCCTATAGATTATCATCTCAAACGACTGCGTAGGCTTAAAGAAAAGGCATTTAAAAACAAAGACGTTTCATCGGTAAAGTCTCTGTCGAGTGATATAAAAACCGATTTGCGTCTCCTCAACCATATCTAGGTTCAAACTATACTTGGAAACAGAAAGTACCGATAAATATGGAAAATGTTGAAACAGTTAAGCGGTGTCACCCGCGAGATCACGTATTCAAGTTCGGATGTGGAAGAAGTAAACCTCGATTTTGTGACGAGGTTAGTACTCCAGTCTTTGACATATCCTCTACTGAGTTACAACTGCTCTCAGATAAACCACCATCTGTGAACATAATAGAAGTGAACAGGGATGAACAAAGCACCTGGTCCGGATAAGTTATCTCCAGTCGTTCTCAAGCAGTACGCAGATTACCGGGCACAGTCCCTCGCCGACTTGTACACACACTGTGCTTCAAGCAGCACAAGATAGCTGACAGTTGGTGAGGTGCAAGCATCACGCCTGTAACCATGAAAGGAACCAGCAAATACTGGCCAACCGCTTAAACATCGGTTATTTTGAATACCTTCGAAAGGATCGCAACCCGGATGTACTTGGATGGTCACCATCAGTTTGCATATCGCAACTCAAGGTTCACGTTTAATACATACTGTGCTTTCGTCACTGGATCATAAAAACAAATCCATCCGCATCTGCTTCCTGGATATTAGCAACGCTTTCGGTTGTGTGAACCGCGAAATGCTGGTACGCGATTTATTAGACCCTGGAGTTAAAACTCCAGTGGCGCTTCTGTCGAAAGATTGTTACACAATTGGTAACCAGTTTATCAAGTTTTTGAAGTAGACCTCTTTTTCACTCATTACGGTGTTGCTGTTATTCATGGGGCCATTTTGTCCCCATTATTATTTTCCACTTACGTTACCACCATCCCAATCCCTTTTTGAAGTATGTGGACGAGGTAATTATTGGTGTCCATCATCCAAGCATAGAGTCGTCGGCCAAACTACAAACCCTCCAGAACTACCTCACGGTTTGGTCCAAATCCCGTTTCTTACCGTGAAACACCTCAAAATGCAAGGATGTCCTTTTTCGCCGTTCCAAGGAAATCGCTACCAGCAAATACCAACACAGGGTGTTTCCATCGATGGTGAAGATTTGACCGCTTCCAGCTCAGTAAAATACCTGAAAGTAACACTGACCATCGGACTTAAGTGGTCCCTCCATATGAACGAAGCATTCACTAAGGTTGGTAGACTCATTTATGCCAAACATCTCAGGTCTTCTTCCGTACCCCATTTGTTGATCCAGCGTTTCAACATTGGATGTGTCACCCTACTGGACCCATTGCTCTCCCGTGAGCTTTCCTCATCTGAGTGAGGACCTCAAAGCAATTGCCAAGTCAATGAAACATCTATCCCAGTGTAGTGGTATTTCAAGTCCGGAACTTGTTGACATCATTGTATCCAGCCATGTTAGCTCCTGTAACAACTTTGCATTTAAAATACTCGTTGATGTTAGCCATCAACTCAACAAACCGTTGTTCGAATAGGTATCAAGTTCTTCGATCAGACAGTTATAAAACACACAAGGGCCTATAGTACATCAGTAGTTCCTTGTCTGTCACGTTTTGAGTAAAAAAATCGATCATTCAAGAACTGGTTAGTAAATTACTTCCGTGATGTAAGTACTGCAAACAATTTTTCGACGATTGCGATTTTATGTCTACCCTCATGTATTATTCCATCTCATTATTAATCCTTGTCCGGGGTGTGTGTGTGTTCGAGTTGAATGTTCACCTTACATGGATGCATAAAGATTATTATTGATTTGACTTGACTCAAATCCACCAAAAACTGATGCGCAGATCAAAAGTATTAAATGAAGAGAGCTTGTTGAAAGACCGCTCTGTCAGACCCGTAATGTTTTAAAAACACAAGGGGCAGGGAATTGTCTTTGCAGAGCGCAAACCGAGTCAGCTCGAGGTGCACGAAATCGACCCCATCTGGAATGCACAAGGGAAAGACAATGAACATCCTTGGGGTTTAGTTGTCTCATGAAATTAACCGATGGGGCGAATCGGTTTTGAGTACAATGGGGAACATTCGAAAGTAGTTACATCAGAAAAGGCGAATTCTTAATCGAAGTGATATGTCTGCATACTTACATACTTATAATAGTGGGCAAAGCGAATCCGCAGGAGATGGACATTTCCACAACAGGCAGCAATTGGCTTATGTAGAACACTGCAGGAGTGACGAAAAGGTATAAAACAAATAATCTGGAATGGCGATTCGATTGGTCACCCAAAAGATGCACCAGCGGATTCATCAGTAGTGCCGGATTTGAAGCGGGTCGCTCACCAACTCTGTTTCGAACGCAGAGTGATGAATGTATGGAACGGCCTGCCGCAGCACGTAGTTGAGGCAAAGTCGGTGTCGGAATTTAAGAAGTTCCTGGACAAACACTTTGCCGACGCAAAATATATTGAGCGCAATATAACATAAGGGGTCTTTGTCCCTGAGTGACATTAGACGCAGCTACACAGAGCAAACTATACTTGCTGCTTCCAACCAGTAATCAATAATCGTGCGAGAAGTGCAAGCGTCAGTAGAGCGCGGTAAGAGTCTAGTGTCCGCGTGCGGTTCGACCGGCCAACACAACTAGAAAAATTGAAATCGTCACGAGAGGCAGAACCAAAGAAACAGATGTGGCAGTGCTACCGGCGTAGAAGAAAGGCATCAGCAGTATGTTGGTGCGCAGTACCGACACTTCGCTGCCGCGCAACCACCACCGGTCGCACGTGGGCTAAGGAAATTGCGAGGATTACTCTGCCTCTACGCAAGCTCGAACCCGCACCCTCGGATTACAAGGCAGACTTGTGATCCTTGAGGGCTACGGGCGTCGTGACTACGCATTATTCCTTAAGGTAGCTAATGTCTGATGTGGTCGATTCTGAGGATACCAACAAGCGTCGATCCTATTCAGCATCTCGACAAGTTTCTTCATGTCCATAAATGCACAACTTGAAACTTCAGTCGGCTAAGCGTAGTGTTAGCGGACAATAAATGCGGAGGTAACCGAGTTACAGATACGCGGGAGACGATCTGTCGAGCATAGATGATTCGAATTCAACAGACACTCCAATGCGCAACCAGGGCTGTTGCCACACATGAATGGAAGAATTTTATAATTCCAACCCAACATGAGCAGTATTTTGCTGGAGTGAGTGGCGCACTAGAATCTAGGTGGGCGCAAGTGGACGACTCAGTTTATGGAATGGACAGCTAAACGCATACATAATGCCAACCTAGGCCTGATGGACCCGGTATTATCTTTCAGAGAGCAGCTGGGCGCTCAAATACGTCGAGGACACAACATGAGAGTGACGCAGGGAACCCATATGATCCACATTGTACAGAAGCAAGTGATAAAGTATCCAGCAATGTCGTATTCATGACATCAAAACAAAAGCAACTACAGGTGGTGGATGGGTGGTGAGGAAAGACGAAGGGATGTGTTGTGGAAAATGGTGAATGAGGTAAACTAATGTAAGTCGGTGGGTGATGACGAGGAAAGAAACAAGTGCAACATACCAACACAGTTGGAGAAAGACAGTCGGACGGAGGGGTATCGGTAGTAGTTCATTCGATTAGAAGCACATCGTCAGGTGAAATGAGGTAAATGTAGCAAGCACCATAATTAGGGCCGAAATAAAAAACGGAACCCATGGGGAAGCAAGTGATGAACAAGGGAAGACTAAAGTGGTAGATCCCATTTGGATCCAGACCCACGCGTACAAATGAATAAAAAATAAATGGTGAGCAAACCACACGAATTTCACAAAAGCGGGAGCCAAAAAACAATGAAGAATGTGACGTACACTGAAATGATGCGAAAGCATGTGCGATAGTTGCGAAAGGGACCATTGGCCTCCACAAATGATGAATAAACGAGCGAGAAATAATGTACAATGTGGAAAATTCAGATGGCGGGAAAGGTAGTTGGTCAACGAAAGACGTGTAATAATTACAAGATGAAATAAAAATAAGGCGCATAAAAAGCGATAAATAGTAGGTAATAACGGGTGAAAGCAAATATGTTTAGTGAATGATCGGCGCGTATGTATCACAGGCCAGGAGACACCACGAAATGGCTCGTCACAGATTGTATACTACAAATAAGAACTCAGTGAAACGGTCAAAATAGGATGGTGAAGAAAATCCACGAACCACAATAGAACGCATCACTGATTTCGAGAGAAGGCGAAGGAAAGAGATCCACAGCTGGAAGTGAGTGGCAGAGCGCAATCGGGAAGCTGAAAACATGGCTCAGCAAAAAAATAAAAACATCTGTCACAAGCAGCGAAAAAACGCAACGAGTGGAGATGGAGGACTCTTGCTGCTTCACGCGCTCGGGGGCTCAAGATTTATCAGGTGATGTGGTGTCAGTGCGATACTTCCTAAGAGCACGATGAATGAATTGTAAGGTGAAAGACGCATACCGGGATAGAGAGTGGAACCGTAAGAATAAAGAATGACGGGAGCACGATCAAAATGTTTCACACCGGTTGCATCATGCGCTGGACGGTCGGGTCAAAGGATAATAGCTAGAGAATAGGACTGAAATGAGTAAGCCGGATAGACGCACGTGATAAACACAGAAGGGATGATGAGACGGAAAAGCTGAAGCAATGTGAAGCTGTCTACATAATGGTCAACACCAATATGCATGCGCAGCTATAAGAAACGGGCAGATATGTGGTTGCGAAGAGAAGTCATAGGTTGAAAAGATATATCAAGGGATAAGCGCGGATGGAAAGAGCAATGCACTAAGGTTCTTGCGTCTAACAACCATAACAACCGAATGCAAAGGCAAATGAGTGGTGGCATTCAGTGATCGTAATATGAAAAAGTAAAGGTACCGCGGGTAAAATGACAAGTGTGCAATAAACCCGAAAACAGCCACTTTAGCTGGATGATGATTTTGCTTGAGCCGCCCCATGGAACCCCAAACCCCATAAAGCGGAAGGCCGATTCCCGTTTGCAGAGTTGAACGAATTGTCACTGACACTTCCATTATCCGGTTTCAGTCTAGAAGATAAGCTATTATCACTCAACTGGTACAGAAAGGCGGGGGAGCAAGAAATCTCATTGCCTGTATTTCCTGTTGAACGAGACACTGGAACAAGCCTCGAGGATGACAAAGAGATAGTTTCAACAATGGGAGGGGTGGTTGAGTTGCGTGATGTCACTGGGTCAGTGGACCCCATCGAGGTAAACGCATCCATAGTTGTGATGGGAGGTTGAACACCCGGAAGGTGACATTCGCTAGAGGAAGCAACGCACGCCAAAGGGTCGTGAGAATTTCCATCTTTCACAAACTGCGCCGTATTAGGGAACAGAGTTCCGGTATTACAAGAGCTTGAACTCAAAGGCATAGGCTGCGCTAATGCAGAAGAACAGCATCTAGGAGAGTAGGAGTGATAATTTTGGGGTTGCTGATGGTAAGTGGAGGAAATATCGGCAGTACTAAAGGTTCGCTGGCCGTGGCAGTGAGTGAGCGCTTCACCAGGAAAAGCGGGTGATTGTGGACCCGCCGAAACATATCCAGAGATGGGTCCGCTCAATGTTCCTAGCGAATTGCCTGTCATAGTGAAGTGCGCACCGTTCATGGCAGAAATCGTAGACGCGCCAGTAGCACAACCGGTTAGACTAGACATTGAAATAAACCCGTATAAATTTAAAATATGCATGGCATTCGCAATTTCGTCAGTAGCGGCATCCGAGTAGCCTGCAGAACGTAGAATGTTTCGCACCACCTCAAGCCCAATGGTGGACCTGGCAGACGGTGACGAACTCATAGGCGAGGATGATGCGCAGACATGTGAGCCGCTGCCGCCGAGTTGTGGGGTAGCGGAGCCTAGAAGGCTTTGTGAAGCATGATGATAGCCTTGGCTATGTGATGGATGGTGCCCAGTTGCACCACCACGACCAGTCAGAGCACGACCGGCAGAGTGAGAACCAATAAGCGAGGGAGTTCGGCCACCACTGCCGCCGGAAGAGAAAGGTGATGCATTCATGGCAGTCATCGCGGCGGCGAATGCGGAAGGAGAGCTGGTTCCCAACATTGAACTTGGTGATGCCGTTGAGCCAGTGGGGCTGATGGAAGAAAACGAACTGAAATGAGGAGCTGTGAAGTTTCCGGACGTAGATCCAGTACTGGACTGGCTACCACTGGGCAATAATTGATCAGATCCGGGGGCGGACATAGTACAGTTGTTCAATCCGAACCTAGAGCCCAACACCAGGGCATAGGGAGAGCCTGTCGGATAAGCACTGGCAACTGGTCGGGGGACTTCTGCATATGAGATATTCGGGCAACTGGAAGATTGTGGGTCATCAGCAATCTTTACCAACAGTTGTTTAACAGCCTCGTAGGTTTGTGACAACTCCCCTAGGAAGTATGAGAGAAGAAAAAAGTTAAGGCGGTTAGAAGCAAGGAAGATGGTAAATGCAATCATACCGGGATGAACCGGTGAACTGCATGTTTTCGCGAATTCAACACGAAGCAACGACCCTAACTTTTGAAGATAATGAATCAACCAATGAAGATAGTAAAATGGGTGGGTGTCAAAAGTCAAGATAACCAAATTGACGGATGATTGGCGCAACTACCCATGGTTGAGAAGTAGAAATAAAAGCAATCAGTGCTATGAGGGCCGTGACGAGATAACTAAAATTTTATCCCCACGAATTCAACCAACGTTCCCAAGTAAGAGTACAGAACCAGCAGCGTTTGGTCCATCGCCGAAATTCAGAAAATGCATGTTGTTCCATATCCAAAGATGCAACGGCCAGGCGCAACGTACTTCCATCATAGATGTTTAGAATCCTGCTTACATAAATCATGCCTTGTTCATAAGTGCTACTGGCCGTCGAAACACTGATAGCCTGCCATTGTATACCCTGAGTAGCGCATTAGCGGAGAGTAATTAACAAAGCACAGCTAAGGTGTATTGATGAGTATATATCCTTGATATAAAAAAGAAGAATAACGATGGTAAATACCCTTAGGATATAGGACAAACTGCGCAGTCCCCTTAAGGTGTGTAGCAAAGGCCCGTACTAAGCATGAAATCTTTGTCATTAAAAGCGTGATCACGATTAGGGTCCAAACAAAAAATAATGGGATAGCTTTGCATTCCATCATTTTGCTGCCGAAACCGCGGGAGGGACTGCGCTACGCACTAAACGAAAGGCGTATGAACTGAGCAATCAGTCATCGGCTCCCAATGGATGCAAATCCCTGAGTTCGCTCTGCTGCTTTGAGGGTAGGCTATTGAGCCAAACGCTCGGAGTGGAGTACCCTAAGACAACTCTCTACTTCGGTTTGGGCAACCGGGTAGTATCGTGCCCTCTGTGAAAACCATGGACTTCACAATTACTACTACGTCGCTTACTTCTGCTGATACTTCATCTGCTACTCATGCTTCTCCATCACACGCCAAATTTTCTCTTGTTGATAATCCACAACCTGTTGAATCTACTTCCAATGCGCGTCTCGCTGATATTCAAATTATCCGACCCCGTTCTTCGTCCCGTCTGGCAGCGTTCAATTTTCGGGCCCTCCAACAGATTGGACAACAGGCTGGCTCAGCGTGCACTCTAGAGTTTCTCGCCATCGATGTTTGTTGCCTTTCAGAGACTCGATTGCAGGATCCCAGCACCACGGTTAAGTTGTCGTCTCCGAATGCCCTTGAAACAAAACATTACCTACGTTTATCAAGTGGCATGGAGGCAGCAGCAACTGGCTCGGCTGGTGTCGGTATCGCACTGAGTAACAAAGTGGAGGCTGCATTACTCGACTGGTTTCCAATCGACAGCCGCCTGTCTGTGGTTCGGCTTCAAGGCCCATGTAGAATCAACAGACATCGTGACGAGAGGCGCAACTTGTTTGTCGTTTCTGCCTACCCTCCAACCGGCTGCAGCTGTGCATCGGTTAAGGATGACTTTTATCGTGGACTCCACAACCTTTTGAACAAGGCCGAAAAGTCAGATGTCGTCGTCCTTGCCGGCGATTTCAGTGCACTTGTAGATCGCCTGTTTCCTTGCGAATGTCATCTTTATGGCAGTCACGTGCTTGATGTGAGTCGTTTTGACAACGATGGGACTTCCCACGTTATGCGAAGACCACCGTCTGTTTCTCTTAAGTACGAACTTCCAGCATGCCAGAAGACGTGCAGCCACTTGACGTCGCCCTTCATAAATGCAAGCGTGGTCACAAATAGATCACATTGTAATCAGCTTTCGAGTGCGAGACAGCGTCCGAGATGGTAGATCGATTTGGTCTACGTACCTCGATTCATATCATGCTTTGGTCTGCGCGGACATCTGCATGCGCTTCAGCGGCTCAGAACGAAAGCTCCATACGCTGGACCCCAACAGGTTAGCTGCCTAAGACGGCATCTGTAGGAGCAGATCCTGATGTCGTTGAAGAAAAATCTTGATTTCAAAGAAACAAAGGTTAATTCGCAACGAGACTGGGCCCTAGCGTGGTGCGATAGTTTGCGTACCCCCGTGACGCATTGAGCTACGCTGGTTAGCACTTGTCAAGTGCCTTCAGAGCCACTCATACCAGACAGATCAATGGTTAGGGGTCAGACTAACTCAGTCTCACAATCCAATCCTCTTCGGAGGTTAGGGAGATGTCAATGGCCCAGTTCCTATAAAACCTAGCCATGGGAGACAGCAGGTCTATTGGTTATAAGCTCAAAGCTCGATTGCCATAGAGCACGAGCGCCATGCACTGTGACGGTGAGGGCACCAAGGGGTGGTCAATGGTTTGTTACCGCCTGCGTTAAGCCAGGCAGCCCCGGTCGAATTGGCGCAAACCCACCAAGCCCCATTTGCGGCTGGTCGTGGTGGCAGGTGCGTAACGTAATACGATCGTAAAACACATGTGAATTGTTCCTGTGTGTGACAGGCCTCAAGCAGATCGCAATGGGTCTCTGCAATCATACTACAAAGCTGCAGTTACACCCGACTGCCTTGTGGATCAGAGCCAAAGGCTCCGGGTAGAGTTCCTCAAGCGAACCTCCAAATCCCCCACTGCCTTGTGGGTCAGACTGCTGAGTCAAAGGCACCTCGAACAAAACCCTTTATTATTATTATTATTATACACGTTAGCTGGAGGCGGAAAACACCTCAGCTATTGTGCCGCAAAAAAAGACAAGAAAAGGAAAACAAACAGTGGCACGCCGGCTGAGTCCCCACTAACGAATGGACATCGTTCCGGAGAGCTAACAGCTGGCTATCGTGCCGCAAAAAGAGTTAGATTATGCCTGGAGAATGAGATCGTGATTGGAGGGGGAGGCTAAGCAGGAGAGGATGGACAAAGGAACTCACAACACAAACGTCATCGGGGCCGGCTCTAAGCCATAGTAGCAAGTGTGTTCAACCAAACGTGTTCATCGTCCTTAGGACCCCAGCCAGGCAATCGAGATGCACCAACCGACGCCAACTTTGAAGTAAGGGTCTTCATTTCTCTCGACCAAGTCATCGCTTGGCCACCCATCCTCTTCCAAGCACACCACCGGCGTGCAAACAATGGACGTCGCGGGAGTCGGTGTGCTAGCATGCGCAACATCGGAGCCTGGTGCGTGATATAATTGTGCTGAACGGTTCACCCGCTCTTCCTGCACCAAATACGCGACGCCGAACACGCTCACTGCTCACGCGATGCTCCCACCAGACATGTACCAAACTGTGAAGGCAGCGATGATCGAAAGTGACGAGCCACTTTATGTCTGTCGACCTGATAGGCCAGGTTTCATAACCATATAGGGGTTGAACGGACGGTTGCGTTATAAACTCTGCCCTTCAGAACGAGAGTAATGTCGTGCCTGCGCCACAGGTGGCGGAGATTGACAAAAGTACCTCGAGCTTTTGCTATACGGCTCGTAACCTCATCTGCCATCTCACGGGCGCTAACACAGCAGTCCATGTACTTGAATTGCTGAACGACTTCTAGCTGATCAGCACAAAGTGTTAGCGCAGTGTTGCATCCCTGCCAAACTTGGAGAAGTGCTTTGCATTTCGATGGAGCAAAGCATAGCCCAAAACGATTGACAGTCAGTGCTAATCGGTCCAATACTGCTTGGCATGTTTGGGAGCTGTCACAGATTAGCGCAATATCATCAGCATACTCCAAGTCAAGAAGTCGATCACCAGGAAGTAGCTCCACACCTTCTAGGTCGTGTCCAGCGAACGCTGTTTCCATGACTTCATCAATAGCGAAGTTGAAGAGGAAAGGTGACAGCGGACAACCTTGTCTTACACCGCTGGTGATACTGAAAGGTGGCGAGAGTTTGCCATAAACCATCACTATGGCCGAACTATGCGCGTACAGCGCTTTGATAATGTTTAGGTATTTTCCAGGCACACGACTCCTCAGCAAACAGGCCCAAAGGGCACATCGATCGACTGAGTCAAAGGTACCTTTTATGCCAAGAAACACGACAACGGTGGGTCGCCAATATACATGGCGGTGCTCCAACAATTGACGCAAGGTGAAGATGTGGTCAATGCAGCCCCGACCTTGACGAAATCCGGCCTGCTCTTCACGGACCTGGCTTTCAATAATGCCAGTGTCTGTGGAGAACGACAGACGCAAGCAATTTAGAGGCAATGGAGATCAAACTGATCCATCTATGATTGCCGCATTCCGAACGGGAGCCTCCGTTGAAATTTGGGACAATGACGGAGCGGTTCCAGTCTGTCGGGACTGTTTTCTGCTCCCAAAATTTTACTAGCAACTCGTGTAAATCAACTATTAGAGCAGGTCCCCTGAATTTGAAGAGGGCTGGGGGAATTCTACCTGCCCGTGCCGCTTTATACAATGTCAACAGCCTTATTTCCCGTTCGACTTCTGCGCGTGAGGACGGATCCAAGGAGACGGCTCAGGGAGAAGAGCGCTCAATGCCCGGAAAAGAAACCGATAACTCAAGTGGGTTAAAATGCCTTGCAAAGTGTTCGGCCCAACATTCCAAGGGTTTTGACAGGTTGTGGGTCGGCTGTCCACTCTCTTCGCGTATGATCTTGCTAACACCAGGTCTCATGCTGCCTGTTTCCCGTATCAGACGGAATAACTTACGATGACTGCCAACAGCAGCGGCTGTTTCCATCTCAGAGGCACGATGAGACCACTAGGCTTCGCGGTCTTTCTTCTGGCTAGCATGTAGTTTTGCTCCGATATTTTTGCGAGTCTCATTGTATTCGCTACCAGCCAGAATACCTCGGCGAGCATCCATAACTTCCAAGAACTGTGTAGAGACCCAATGTCCAGTTTGGCAATTTGATTTGCGACATGAAGACAAGCCTGCTGATAGTAATGTTTTATGAATATGCGACCAGTGATCTTCGACGGTGTTTAGTAAGCGCTTACTCAGACCAGAT